ACAGGACGAGCGGTCAGAGCTGGGGCATCAGGAGGAGAAAGGGGGAGAGAATTTTCCAGGACTTTGGCAGCATGGGATGAGTTTTAATTACTTCTCATTATTTCTGGCGTTAGACAAATCCTTCCATGAATTTCATCAAAATAATGCCCCAGCCATAGGAAGTTTCTCTAAGTCTTTAGGAAGGGAGCGGGAGGGCAGTTTGCAGAGGAAAGTATTTGCCCCCTCACCTCAGCAATGGCCAGAATTACAGATTAACAGGAAAACCTGCGAGCTCAGGGAGTGACCTGGGGACAAGGGTGAGAAGAAAGACAGACAGACAAAAAGAGCCTTAAGAAAACAGATTACTCATCTTGGTGCACAGTAAATCAAAGCTGCTTTATCTCTGCGTAATCAGGTAAGAAGAACCTCAGACAGCGGCTTCAGCCTTTGGCAAAACAGGTAGAAAGTCTCCATTCCCCAGCTCCAGCAAGACCTCCTAACCCACCAAACACCCTCCCATCCCCATTGCCCGCTGATGTGAAGCTGGAGCTAAAGCTTAGGCAGGATCTGGGATGTTTCTCCTCTTCCAAAGAGGCTCTTTCTCAGTTGTCCGTTGTCCCCAAAGCCATCCCGCCTCCCGGGGCTCGGCGCACCTTCCTGCCTCAGTTTCCCCATGAGGTCCGTTTCCCTGCACTTACCTTCCTGGCAGCAGGCAGGCTCTGGGAGCAGCCCCAGGAGGATGAGGAGCAGGCAGCGGGCAGGCATGGCGGCAGGCATGGCCTCGAGCTCTCGGGCTGAGCAGCGGAGCGCGGCCGCTCCTGCGCTTGGGCACGCCGCCCTCCCACTGCAGTGAGTGCTTGGTCAATTATCAAACGCATTAACGAGGGAGGCCGATGCTCACACCTGGGTATTCAAATCCCGCTGCAGAGAAAAGGGGTGGAAGGAGGTGCCTCTTTCTTGCTCCCGTAAAGGGGAATTTGGGGCATGGTGACTTGAACATGACCGTCCCCTTAGGGCGGGGAAGGGGACTCAGGCACGAGATATTTGCATCCACCCAGGAGGAAGAAGTGACGCACAGATGGGTAAATCTCTCCTCCAGCACAGCTGTGGTGCTTGGGGAATGTGGCTGGACAGGATCTGGGTGTCCCCAAAGCCCCCATCCCCGCAGCGGGAAAGCCAAGGGGTCCAGCGATGCCCCAGCTCTGACGTCCCTCCCCATCCCACAGGACTCCATGTCCTGGGGGTGCAGAGAGATGCCCAGCACAGTCCCCACTCTCTTCCTTGCTGTTTTCTGTTGAACAAGTGTCATTAATAACCTAACAAAACACGTTTGTAGCTTAAAAACACCCGTTTAATAAACCAGACTCGATGCCAAGTGCTGCCTCCCGTGCCTTGTTGAATGGAGAGACTGTTAAACAGAGCAAACACAGCATTCATTTCGTTGAGCCTTCAGGGCTGTTTCCAAAATTTCTTTGACACCAGAAGAGACAGAAACACCCGAAGACCTGCAGCAGATGGCAGAGCTGGCCCTTCACATCAGCAGCGCAGATGCTGCTGGATAGGGAATGTTACAGGTCCCAAGTTAAGCAGCTTCCCAGCCTGTGCCAGGTTTGGATGGCGGACAAACCCACCCCTCAGGAAGAATACAAGCTATTTGGCTTCACAGCTGCACAACTTCCGTTACTCCTGAAGGAAATATTAAATCTGTGAGCCAGCAGGGTCACTCCTCTCTTGGCGTGTCATAGCGTCTCTGTAAGCCCCACAGAGCATCCCCATAGGCAGCATCTGAGCTCTCAGGCTTAGGGTCTGGTGGTACCACCCCTCAGGGACCCCACTTGGGTGTCATGTCCCACTGTGGGCATCCACAATGGACCCATGGTCAGGAACATGCAACATCCCCAGGAATACATAACGCACCGGTGCAGGATTGCCCTCTTTCACACTTCCTCTTTCCGCTGGATCTACAATGATGTCATTTATCCTAAAAAACAAGCCAGAGCTGGGTTGAACTGCACAAGACTGAAGGCCAGTTCCAGCTCTCTCCCAAATCCCTTTCCATGGCCAAATCCCCACCTGCAACATGGGATAATCCCATTCCCAACACTGCTAGGTTTTGTTTACGAACTCCCTGGGACACGGACTCTCCCGCTGCACCCCCCAAGGAAGTGGCATGACAGGGACCTGCCCATAATAAGGCCCTGTAAAAGCCATGTAATTTTGTTAAAGAGAAACAGGAATTGCTCGCAGAGAAATAAAAATAAGAGTGAACTTCGGGTTCCCTCTGACTTGCTTCCACATAACGTATTTGGGAAGCCACACAGAACTTGCACGCTTTGCTGCCTGCTTGTTTCTTGTCTCTTAGCAAAAGACCATCAAAAAAGCTAGCTTTTTGGAGCAGAAGGTTTTATCAGCAGATCAGAAGTCCTAGAGAAGCTGGTCGTACTGCTGCCCTTGGGAAATTCAAGGTCTGAGACATCTCTCGGCCATTGGTATCCACACCCCAGCCACGCCTGGGGCTGCACCAGGTTGCTCACAGGGTTCCTTTTGGTCCTCCTCTGCACGTACTCCAGGTTGTCTTCTCACCTCAGGGCTCTTCCCAGCCCCTCTCTAGGGACCCTGGGCTGATTTTCCAAGGATAGGGATGTTGCGAGTATCTACTCGTGTCCTATGATCTGCTGGGGGGACAGGACATGACAGATCAGACCTGGAGATGAAGGCAGGGCTGCTGTGCCTTCTAGATAGGGGTCTTGCTGTCAGCTCCTTCCTGAGGAGCAAATAACTCTTTACCATTGCACACTCCCACGTTTATTTGAAATGTAAGGAAATCTATTTATTTAATTGTTTGGGGCTTGCTGATGAGGCCAGGGAATCGCTCCTTTGCTTATCTCAAAGCTCCCCTGTGCTCCAATGCACCTTCCTTAGCCCCCCGGCAGCTATTAGGAAGGTATGTGCTTTTGTGACCGTGGCACCTGCCTGGTTGGATATTCTGGGTCTGGCCTGAGGGAGGATGAGAAATAGCAAGTCACTGTAATGGAAGCAGCCTTGTTGCAGGTGCGAAGTCTGAAATTTTGGCAAATAATTTGCCATCCACCTTCAGCTTTTGTCCTTCTGGCCATGGCTTGGGACCTGCAGAGATGTTTCTGCTGCAGCATGCTGGAAATCTTGCTGATTGTCTCATCTAAGACTTCAGCATCATCCAGCCATGGTGAATCAAAGCCCTACAGGTTCATTTTACACATGGGGGAAACTGAGGCACAGAGGGCAAATCACCACGGTGGCATTTAGCCAAACGCAAGTGGAGCCAGAGGTAGCTCAGTTCTCTCCCAGGGACCCATGTAAGCAGTCGCCTGTACAACAGGTCTTGCACAAAGCAGATCTTGGAATTTCAGGATTTACACTGATATCCTCCAAAATCTGGCATTTTTTTCCCCTAAGAAATGCGTCATTTTTAGCCAAAATTAATGTTTGCTCAAAGCGACATTCCTGAGTCTAAAATGTGTTCCTGGGTGATATAGCTCAGAGCACAGATGCCAGATCCTCTTTGAAAAATGTTGTGGGGGTCTGTGTTTTAATGGAGGTTATTTTTCTTTCTCCTTCACTTCCTTCCTTCCTTCTTCCTTCCTTCCCTTTTTCATTCGCTCCATCTCCTCCCCCTCTCTCAGAAAGAGCCATAAAAATAAAGAACATATATGAGAGCGAGCCTGAACATTCCCTAAAGAAGAGATTGTATTTTTCGTAAGGAAAAAAAAATGTGGTGAATTTGTTGCATTTCAAAAAGAAAAGGGAAGAAAGAACCCAACCATGAACACAATTTTTAATTGCTTGTTTCTTTTGACATTTGCCATCAAAACCAAATGCTCCTTGTGAGCCCAGAATTCTCCCCTTTTCTATTGACACTGGCTTTCAAATCCTGCCTGGGATGGATGCTGCCAGGGGAGAGCCAGGAGCTACAGCCGCTGTGAAAAGGGCATTTTCTTGGCCTGGTGTGCCAGTGTGGATAAACACCAGGAGAAAAAGGCAGCCCCTGCTCAGGCTTTTCATCCATCACAGCTCTGTACCCCATTCCCCTCTTTAAAAGTGCTTTTAAACACAAGATATTTTGTTATTTACATGCTGATGAAAACCCTGGTCACAACGGTGTGGCATTAGGGCATCACCCCACACCAGCCCTGTCCTTCCTCCATCAGCACAGGGTTCAGCTGGGCCATTTGCTTCTCTCCTGCACACACACAGAGGGCCAAGAGAAAAAACACCTCTTGGCATTTTTGTTAGACATTTTATTAGACCATACCTGAGTCTGCCAGCAGTGATGCTAATTGCAAGCCCCGAATAAGCAGCAGGGAGAAGACAGTGACATGGTGGTGGCTGAGATCCCTCCTGGGCCCTCATCTGGGGAGGATGTGAGTTGTCTCCCTCTCCTCCCAGTCAGCCTGGATGGGTCAGCCAGGACCACTCCTGACAGGACACTTGCTGGGAGCTGGTACCCAGCAGCTATCTGAGATGGGGCATCAGCATCAGGCACCAGGCTTACCCTTCATTGTCTCTCAAGATTCTCCCCATAGCGATGCTCAGTAGCATCACTGTGGCCCATATGTATTTCGTGGGACCCTCTGGATGGTGTTTTTCACACCAGTTGATTTTTGGCATGGATCTCTGGGCAGCTCTCACACCAACCACTGCCTGTGCTGGAGCCTAATGCTGCCGCTCTGTACATCTAAGGGCAACAATGGGCTGTCTCCTCTATCCATTGGCACAAAGCTGCCAGGATTTGTCCTCTCTGAGCTCCTCTGTTCCTGGCATCAATAGCTGCCAGGGGTCTGACAGCACATTCACATCAGCCTCAGGCCTTGTAACTTGGAAAATTAGGCTAAGAAAACACCTACCCCATTTGTCCTACCTTGCTATAGGCTGGGAATAATCACGAAATCATAGAATCATAGGATAGTGAAGGTTGGAAAGGACCTGAAGATAATCAAGCCAAAAATTCCTGAAATAAGAAGAAAATCCACCTGCTTCTGGTCTGCCTTATTGCTGGGGGATAAGCCTGCATCTGTGATTCCCCCTTGGCTTTCCCATCTGTTCAGAACACGTATTGCACCCCTAATCATCTCTGAGCACAGGGGAAAATGCTGCTGCATTGCTGGAGTGGCAGATAGCTGGGATCCCAATACGTGATGCTCAGAAAGGGAGAAAGGAGCTGACTTTGCTCTGGATATTCCCTCCTGCCTGGCAATATCAAATGGAATGAATAATTTACTATCCGATCATCTCTAATCTTTGTCCCATAAAATCAGCAGCAAGCTGGGAGGGTTTTTGAAGCCTCCAGCTGCATTTGCTGATAAGACATGAGGCAGGAAAGATTGGAAGCCCATAAAAATGATAATCTCAGGCTTCAGTGTAACTTGGTGGAAGGGTTTTCTCCTGTCCTTTCATTAAGGATGGATTTCATGATCTTCCTTAAATAACAACAAGCCTTCTCATGAGGAATCTCCCACCCAAAACCTGATTGCATCATCATTAGGAAATACGAGGCCAAGAAGCCAGACAAAAATAGCTGCAGCACAGGTTAGTGCAAGGGCCAAGGCCCTGCAGAGCAAATGGCACCTGCTTTTATGGGATAGGAGGAAAGGAGAGGGGATTGGAAGTGATTTCTGAAAACAGAGACAAGATTTAGGCACTGGGGCTCTGCCTGGAGTCAGTCACCAATGCCATGTTAAGCTGCTGGCCACAAGCCTGACCATGAGCCTGGCTATAGGGCAAGCCCC